GTTGTTATGTTCACGAATGAACGAGGTGAAAGTGATACCTGTTTGCTATAATTTGGGAGTCCTAAGGCTGCAGATTGTGGTAGGGCCAGTTTTGGTTGGCTGAAGCCTGTTCATAATTATCCTCCCAAGCTAAAGGCTCTGGATCAGTGTTTATACAAGGCCATACAAGGGAGATACCAACAAGGAAAAATTTGGGACCTAAGACCTATAATATCTTGCAAATTCAAGGGAAGCTCTTGCCTTTTAGACATGGAGCAAGAGAAACTTTGAATAATTTTCATTTTTTCAGGTGAGAGGAAAGTTTCTTCTGCAGGCATAATGGACCTTTCCTCGGCAAAACTGATCTTTCCACGGAAGCCTATGGCTTTTGTAAGCTAATGTAAGAAGTAGATGGAGAGCCGGGTGCCATAGCTCATGCCTGTAATCACAGCAATTTGGGAGGCCAAGGCAGGTGGATCACTTGAGGTCAGGAGTTCGAAACCAGCCTGGTCAATGTGGTGAAACCCCTTCTCTACTAAAACTACAAAAAATTAGCTGGGTTTGGTGGCTCGCACCTGTAGTCCCAGCTACTCAGGAGGCTGAGGTACAAGAATCACTTGAGCCTGGGAGGTGGAGGTTGCAGTGAATCACGATCGTACCACTGCACTCCAGCCTGGGCAACAGAGCAAGACTCCAACACACACACACACACACACACACACACACACACACACACACACACAGAGAGAGAGAGAGAGAGAGAGAGAGAGAGAAAGAAGTTGAATCTATTTCTGACTCTTCCTTAGTATGAGAAACAACAATAGCAGTAGGTTATAAATAAGAGCAGAATTCCTAGGAAATCCCAAATTTGGCAAAACCTGATGCAGAGTCTGAGAAAAATAAGAGAGGCCTTGGCAAATCCCTTTGTCATTACAGTCCAATTACATTGTTGATTTTTTCCAATGAAAAGCAAATAAGTATTGACTCATTTTACCAGCTGGAATACTGTGTTTCATCACTGTGAACCATTTTAAATTTTGGGTACATTATACAACAAGGTATTCAAATTTGAAACTACTGGCAACCTTAGTATTACAATCTTATTTATTGCATGTAGGTCTTGAACAAATCTCCAACCTTGTCCATTGAGTTTTTAAAGTGGTAGATTGGGGTGTTACAAGAACCAGTGCAAAAAATTAGAAGTCTTTGTATGATTAATTCCAGCACAATTGGTGACAGCCCCTGAATACATCCAGTTTTAGTGGACGTTGAGGTAATTTAGGTAGCAGCTTAGAATGATCTATTGGGATTTTTTTTCTGTTTTGATTTTTGCGGGTTTAGCACTTTAAATATTTTCATTTAAGGAGGAAGCCCACAAAGGTTCTTCAGAAAGAACAGGTTTTTATAATTTGCGTTTTGGTGTTATCAGCTTCTGCCAGTAGGTAATAGAGCAATTCAAGTTCTGGAGAGTCAGGAAATTATAAGATTATCTGTCCTTCTGAAGATAATTTTCTGTAAATTTTTAATTCAGAGAGCAAGTCTTATCCCCATGGATTCACTGGGGCAGCATCACAAAGTAAGAAGGCGTGTTTTTCTGAAAATGGTTCAAGTGTCATTTGGACAGGTTTAGACATGGAGACATTTTGGACTTGATTTGAAACCTCCATCATGAAACTGTTCTTTTTATTGCAAGGGTTTAGAGTACATAGGTAGGCCAGGTACAGTTGCTCAGGCCTGTAATCACAGTACTTGGAGAGCCCAAGGCAGGCAGATCACTTGGAGATCAGGAGTTGGAGATCAGCCTGAACAACATGTGAAACCCCGTCTCTACTAAAACTACAAAAATTAGCTGGTATGATGATGCGTGCCTGTAGCCTCAACTACTTGAAGACTTAAACAGGAGAATCGCTTGAACCTGGGAGGCAGAGGTAGCAGCGAGCTGAGATTACACCACTGTGCTTTTGTCTGAGCAACAGAGTGAGACTCCATCTCAAAAAAAAAATTTTTTTTAAGAAGTACATAAGGTGGTCCAGCACAGTGGCTCACACCTGTAATCATTGCACTTTGAGGGGCCAAGGCAGGGAGGATCTCTTGAGGCCAGGAGTTTGAGATCATCTTGGGCAACATAGCAGGACTCTATCTCTACAAAAAAGTTTTTAAAAAATTATCCAGGCACAGTGGCATGCACCTGTAGTCCTAGCTACTCGAGAGGCTGAGGTGGGAGGATCCCTTGAGCCCAGGAGGTCAAGATTACAGTGAGCTGTGATCACACCACTGCATTCCAGCCTGGGTGACAGAGTGAAACCCTGTCTCTTAAAAAAAAAAAAAAAAAAAAGATTAATGGGAAATTTTATACAGGTTTGGTAAATACTAGAGCCACTTTATCTACTTTTTTTTTTTTTTTTCCTTTTGAGACGGAGTCTCCCTCTGTCACCCAGGCTCAAGTGTAGTGATTCAATCAGTCTAAAACTCTTGGGTTTGAGTGATCTTTCCATCTCAACTTCCTGAATAGTTGGGATTACAGGCATGCATCACCCTGCCTGGCTTTTTCCCATTAATCTTTTTATTTTATTTATTATTGTTTTTGTTTTTCCCATTAATCTTAATTTTCATTTTTCCCTTGTTCATTTATAAGTATTATGGGAAGAACGCTTTGGAGCCTCATTAGTGTTGATTTTTATTCCAGGTGTCAAACCTTCAGCGGCCTCATCTGGAGGGAAAAATGTCTGGGTCAAAAAAGTGGGTTCATTACACAGCTGGTACAAGACTGGACAATTTTGGCCAGGCATGGTGGCTCATGCCTGTGATCCCAGCACTTTGGGAGGCTGAGGCAGGTGGATCACCTGAGGTCAGGAGTTCAAGACCACCATGGCCAACATGGAGAAACCCCGTCTCTACCAAAAATACAAAAATTAGTTGGGCATGGTGGTTTGTGCTTGTAGTTCCAGCTACTCAGTAGGCTGAGGCAAGAGAGTTGCTTGAACCAAGGAGGTGGAGGTTGCAGTGAGCCGAGACTGCACCACTGCACTCCAGCCTGGGCAACAGAGTGAGGGGCTCTAAAAAAAAAAAAAAAAAAAGACTGGACAATTTTGATTCCAGTGGCCCGGCTATTTACAATGAAAGAGGACATCTCGAGGCACAAGTTTCTTTGGTCCTCCTCCTGTTTATCCAAGTATTTTAAATCAATACTAAGAGGTCCCAAACTAAAGAAACTTGTGCCTCAAGATGTCTGCTTTTACTGTAGCTGTTGTGACTATTACTTAAAGCATAGAACTGATGTTAATGGTTTCTTTTGAATAAACATGGAAATTGACCCTCCCAGGCCAAGCGTGGTGGCTCACACTTGTAATTCCAGCACTTTGGGAGGCTGAGGTAGACGGATCACTGGAGGCCAGGAGTTTGAGACCAGCCTGGCCAACATGGCAAAACCTTGTCTCTACTAAAAATACAAAAAAAAAAAATTATCTAGGCATAGTGGTGTGCACCTGTAATCCCAGCTACTCGGGTGGCTGAAGCATAAGAATTGCTTGAACCTGGGAGGTGGAGGTTGCAGTGAGCCGAGATCATGCCACTGCACTCCTGCCT